TCCCGCCCGCCCACTGGGGGGCGCCTCCCCCGGCCGCCCCGAGGAGTATTGAAGCACCGCCATGCCTCTGCGCTGAGAAAAATAGTCCCCCCGCAAAGACGGAGGGGCTCCGTGCACCCAGCGTGTTTGAAATAAATAAACAAATAAATAAAAAAGCGTGGGGGATAAAGCGCTGTTTGAGGGCGTCTCTCTCCGTGGTGTTCCCCCCCCCCCCACCACTTTGCAGGCTCCAGGGGCGGAGGGATTCGCTATGCCGGGAAGTAGTCCCGGGAGAACTTGAGTTGGGAAAAGTTTGCGAGCCCCGCAGACGGTGACGGCGCTCCCGCCTGAGCGGCCCGGCGTGGCCCAACCCCGCCCCGGCCTCTGTCCCGTCCGTGCCATGCTGAGCAGGGGAGAATGAGGCTGGCTGCGCGGAGCCCCGGGGCCAGCCTGGCAGCCGGCTGTCTGCTGCTGCTGGGGCTGTGCGGGCGGGCTGCGGACGCCGCGGTGAGTGCGAGCCCCGGGCCGGGCCGGGCTGGGCTGGGCTGGGGGCGGTGGCGGGAGAGGGGCTCGCTGTCTCGGCTCGGGGCAAAGGAGGGGAAGGAGCTCGGATGTCTTCCCAGCCGGCCTCACCTGTGCCGGGCGGCAGGTCCTCGGCTGCAGATGGGCTGGGGGGGAGCTTGTCCTGGGCCTTCAGGCTGAGGGGAGGCAGGTGCTAACTAGGGCTGGGGATCCCGAGCACCCCTGGGGGGGCGGCTGTGTAATGGCGGGGTGAATTTCCATGCTGATAACTGGCTAACAAATCAAACGTGTGGTAAATCTGCTAGTAAACCTGGAGGGGGGATGCGATAAGAAAAAGTTCAGGAGCTTCTGCTCTAGGGATCGTCCCCCTTGCCCCCCCCCTTGCAGCCTAGCTTGTAGCTCCCTTGTTTCTGGAGAAAGATGTAGCTTGAAAGTTTCTTTCCACTATCCCAGATCTCCTGCTCCAAGCCTTAAATACTTAAACCGGTGCATTTTTTTCCTTTCCATGACACGGGTGAGGGTGCGTTATTGTGGATGATGTGCTCTGACTGAAATCAGAGCGGTTTCTCCTGTTCTCTTCATCACAGGCGTGCTTTCTCCCTGCTCCACCCCACGCCACCCCACCCCACCCCATCCCTGAAATATTAGAGGGGGCAGAATCTGTATCTGGTTTTTTCTGTGAAATATCTTCCTTTACCATAAAACTTTTAGCCATAGCATCCGTCTCCCACGGGGATAAAAGAGCCAACTTGCCCCCTCTCACTAGTGGTATGTACTCTAAATGAGGGTCCTCATCTTCAGTTGTCATAAAGAATAGGCTTTATATTGTGGCCATGGCCTAACACTTACCATCTCTCCTGATGGTATTGCTTTGGGAATGTTTTTTTCACAAATTAAATTCAGGAGAGTTGATCGAATCCTACTCTAGTGTTTTGATCAAACTCTTATCTGGAACTGTTGTTCTAACCATTTTGTTATCCAGTTATTAAAAAAATAGTGCTTTGATCCACTGTCATACTGAAATAACTGTATGTATAGCAATGTACACCAAGCAAGCTATTTATATCAGAGTTACGTTGGTGCATCCATTGGGATATAAGGTAGACCAGGTGACTTGTCCAAAATTTTCACCAAAGCCTTAAAATTAAGTAAGAATGAATTATACTAATGTATTTTGATGATTCCTATTATAAGAACACCTTATTGCTAGATTTGCGCAACCATTTTCACTTGTGTATGTAATATTTGATGACTGTGCATACTCATATTTATTGTTTTTAAAACTTGCATATGCAGGTAGCATATGTTGCATTACACAGTGGCTATATTATTAATATTTTCTTTCTTTTGAAAGAGTACAATTCAGCTACATCAAAATACAGACAGGTGGAGCTGGAAACACCATAAATGACTTCAGCATACCAAAGCCTCCAACCCACGTAGCGTTTTTGGGGCTTTTAAAGTAAAGATGCATTGAGAAACGGAGAGGGCTGGCCCCTGGCTTCCTTCATGCATGGCACATGGTTAAAAGGCGCAGTTTAATTTCTTTATGCACGCTGTTGTAGTGACTGAACGCTGATGCAGAGTGAGGCATATAGCTGTTGGAGAACAATAGAAAAGTGGCTGGTAGAGATGACAGTTCTGTCAGTCTCACTGTAGTGGTAGGATGAGATGATGCTTAAACTAGAATATAAATGGGATGTTGTCATGCTTCTGCCAAAAAAGAGTGAGCACATTCGTACACAGTGAACTACGTTCCTGAGTAAACTATTACAGCTATACGAATTATAACTCATTGTTCCCACTGACATAATCCTACTGCACTTCTGGTATTGGGATTGTATTTATGTTGCATCACATAAAATGTCACATTAGAAAGGAAGTTCTAATGTGTGACTTGCAAAATTGGCATAGCCTTTTTAGTTTAGGAACATAGGTTGCTGCTGATACAGAAAAAGCCATTGAATTAGACTTGTGACCATTGGGGAATAAGTGAAATTCCACTGAAGTTAATGGGGCTGCATGTGTTTGTCTGGCAAGAATCTGCATCTCAGCAATTACTGGGAAAAAAAATTAAATTAAAAACACAGAGACAGATTGTGTCAACCACAAAATGAAGACCAGTGACGACTGAAGTTGGAACTTACTGTATTGTATAACTCCATTTTTAGGACACTTACATGCGAGGACCCTGCTCCAACACGCTGGAAATCCAGTGCCTTGATTAATGGAGTCTGCTGGAGCACATAAATTGATGTACTCTGGCAGCCTTGTGTGTCACATGTATCAGCAGCGCAGTGCACCTCCACGCTGAGAAAATGGCAGCAGTGCGCGTTGAATTAAAACATGTTCAAAGTGCTTTAGCTCAAAGCGCACCACCACCATTTTCTCAGTGCAGAGGCGCACTGCACCACTGATACACATACTCCTAATGTGGCACTGGGCACTTTTAATTGGTACAGCTCGCTAATTAAAGTGCCCAGTGCCGCATCAGGACGACATGTAGAAATGCCCTTAGGTTTGTATATTAGGCTTTGAGGTATCAACAAATGAAATTAGTGCTGCAAATCTAAATGGAAAAGTGGGAAAATGCTTTGCATTAATGCCTTTGTGACAGGTGGATTTGATTTAAATCACTGGTCAGGAAGCCTTGATTTAATCGGGGTGAGGGGGTATGATAGGATGTAACCATGTTGGTCTAAGGTAATAGGCAGACAAGATTCTTTGAGTAAATCTGATATCTTTTTATTAAACCAACTCAAATACTTGGAAAAAATCTTCTTAGCAAGCTTTTGGGCACAAATATCCTTCATCAGACTGAGAAAATGTCTGCAGCTGGTCTGTGCTCTTCCTGGGTGGAGTGGTAAAGCAGCCATTTAGTCACTGTTTTCTACAGAAAGTGCATTCTTGTTGTTTGATATCCTTTATTCATTTAATTTCTTGAAATTTTGCACTTTTAGAGAAAGGTAAGGGCTTGACTGTGTGTACACAAACTTGCAGAGAGACCGACAGCTTTCATGAGTGGATAATCAGGTCTGTTATCTCTCATCTCCATACACTGCTGGTAACAAGGATGTTATCTTCGGGAGACTACAAACTTTCCCTACGGCTGAAGAAGGGCCAGAAAGCTTGCAAAAAACAATTTTTCCAACTACTTAGTCGGTCTAATAAAAGATATCACATCTACTGAAAGAAACTTGTCTGCCTATGATCTCTGGAGACACAAGTCCACAGTTTGAAAACTGAAAGTGAGCATCGCAGAGATGCTTAATGGGATATAGACTAAGCACTGAGTCCCATTGGGTAGAGTGGTTTTCTTTAATCTGTAATAATCTATAGAGGAGCCTCGCCTCTAGGAACCCCATAAAATTGGGCCTCTAATATACTCCATGGTCTGTTGTGACCTATTTATAAAACTTCTTAAAAGGTTACATTAATATATTGCCTAATAATTAGAAGTTATAATCCCTATTCCATGATGGTATCTTAGAGCTTGAACATGTTTTAAATGAAAACTATATATACTTTTAAAAAAGCATCTTAACCAAAGAAATGATTAAATAAAAAAAAAATCTGATTTAAATAGAAAAATATGTTGTTGGGTTTTTTTTGTTTTTGGATTTGTTGTGGTTTTTTTTTTTTTAAATCATTGATTTTTATCTACCCTGCTTTATGGATAGAGTGGTGGTGGGAGGAAAAAAATGGTGCTGTGCTTTAAAAAAATCATTTACTCTTTTAATGCAGCCAACAAAACCAGCCAAATTTTGTGTCACATTTCCTTAGAGATCATGGGGTGAACATATAGAACAATGATACCTTACTTCTGTGAATTCATTGCTTTGTTTCATGTAAATCAGTGGAGGGTTTTTCACTAGAGTTGAATATGTTTTTGCTTTGGAACAAAGCATGCATCCTTAAATTGCAAGCGACTGTTCTACTGCTGATTAATATAAATGAGTTGACTACTATATACGCAAAATATACAATGCAGTATAGAATATGTAACTTACATTTCATCCCACCAAACGTTGGTAAATATTTTAATTTGGAAAACAATATTAACGATAGACAACATATGCTAGACTCCAGGGGCACTTTTACACGTGCTTTCAGGTAGGTGGGGGCAGCACTTTAATTAGAGCAGCTGTCAGA